ATATGTCTTACTTCCTTCTCTTGCCTTATTGCTATTGCTAAGACTTGCAATACCAGATTGAATAGGAGAGGTGATAGTGGTCATCCTTGCCTAGTTCCTGTTCTCAATGGGAATGCCTTTAATCTCTCTTCATTGAGAACAATATTTGCTCTCAGGTTTGCATATATACTTTTTACTATGTTAAATAAATTCCCCTCTAATCTTATTTTGCTGAATGTTTTAATCAGAAAAAGGTGTTGGATTTTGTCAAAGGCCTTTTCTGCATCAATTGATAGGATCATGTGGTTCTTGTTCTTTGCTTTGTTAATGTGATGAATTACATTGTTTGTTTTTCTTATGCTGAACCATCCTTGCATACCTGTTATATATCCCACTTGTTCATGGTGAATTAGTTTTTTGATATATGGCTGGATTCTATTGGCCAAGATTTTATTCAAGATTTTTGCATCGATTGGCCTATAGTTTTCCACTTCGGTAGTGTCTTTACCTGACTTTGGTATCAAGGATATGTTTCTTCATAGAATGAGTATGGGGAAATTCCATCTCTTTCTATTTTCTGAAATAGTTTATGTAGAATTGGTGACAGTTCTTCTCGGATTGTTTGATAATATTCACTTGTAAAATCCTCTGGTCCAGGACTTTTATTGGCTGAAATTTCTTCCTTTGTAATAGGTCTGTTCAGGTGATCAATTTTGGTTGGTGTCAGTAGAGGTAGATTGTAAATTTCTAAGTATTTGTCCATTTCCTCTGGGTTTTCATACTTGTCTGATTATAGTTTTACATAATATTCCATTGTTAATCTTTTTCTTTTACTTGATTCTGTTGTGATGTTGTCCATTTCATCTTTTATTCAGATTATTTGTGTCTTTTCCTTTGTTATTTTTTTGCTAGTATTTTGTCAATTTTATTGACCTTTTCAATGAACCAACTCTTAGTTTTGATGGTTTCAATTTTTTTCTCTTTTCTGTTTCATTTATTGCTGCCATAATTTTTATAATTTCAGGGTTTTTTTAGAGGGTGTCGGGTTTTCTTGCTGTTCTTTTTCAAATTTTTGGAAATGTTGGGTTAGAGAATCAATGGTAATTTTTTCCTGCCTTTTGATGTGTTTGCTTATTACTATAAATTCACCTCTGATTACTGCTTTGGCTATTTTCCAGAGGTTTGGTAAGTTGTATTTTCATTGTCATTTGCTTCAAGAAACTTTTTTATTTCTTCTTTTTTTTTTTTTTATTCTCGTACCCACTCATGTTCAAGCAATGTGTTGTTCAACTTCCAAATGTATGGTGTTTTCTCCTCTTATTATTAATTTCTAATTTTGTAGCATTGTGATCTGAGAAGATGCTTTGTATGATTTTTTTTAATTCATTGATTCTTGCCTTATCACCCAAGATGTGATCTATTCTGGAAAATGTTCCATGCACATTGGAGAAGAAGGTATACTGTGCTTTTTGGGGGTCCATTAGCTTATTAATACCTATGAGAATGAGTTGGTTTATTGTATGGTTTAATTCTTCAGCATCTTTGTTGAGTTTCTTTCTGGTAACTCTGTCTTTTCTTTAAAGTAGTGTATTGAAGTCTCCAATCACTATCATAGTGTTGTCTATTTCCTTTTTCAGCTTTGTTAATGTTTGTTTTATATATTTTGCTGGTCTTTCATTTGTTGCATAGATATTTATTACTGTTATGTCCTCATGTTCTATTGATCTTTTAAGCATTATGTAGTGACTTTCCTTGTCCTTTCTGATGGTTTTTGCATTGAAATTTATTTTATCAGACATTAATATCGCTACACCTGCTTTTTTCTGGTTGCCATTTGCTTGGCATATTTTTTCCCCACCCTTTTATCTTTAGTCTTTCTTTATCTTCAATTTCAAGTGTGTCTCTTGTAGACAGCACATTGATGGATTTTGGGTTTTTTTTATCCAGTCTGCTACTCTTTTTCTCTTCAGTGATGCATTTGAACCATTCACATTCAAAATGATTATTAAGAGGTAGGGTTTTATTGCTATCATTGTGTTGAGTTCTTTTAGGTGTTGTTGCTAGTTACTTTGGTCCACCCTGCTTTGTGTGGCACCTCTGTTAGAAAATGTCTCTCAGTGTTTCCTGCAACGCTAGTCTTGTTTTTACAAACTCCGTTAGTTTCTGTTTTTCTTGGAATATGTTGATCTCTCCTTCATACTTGATGGATCCAGTTTCGCTGGATACAATATTTTTGGTTGACAGTTGTGTTCTTTGAGTGTTCAATTTATGTCATTCCACTGTCTTCTTGCTCTCGTGGTTTCTGCTGAGAAATGGGCACTTAGTCTTATCTTCTCTCTCTTATGGGTTACTCTTTATTTCTTTCTCGCTGCTTTCAGAATTCTCTCCTTATCTTTGGTTCTGGTGAATTTGACTATGATATGCCTTGGTGTTCTTCTTTTGGAGTCTATTCTATATGGTGTTTGCTCAGCTTCTTGAATATATATTCTCTCATTCTTCATTATGTCTGCGAAGTTTTCTTCCAGTAATGCTTCCACAACTTTTTAGTGCCTTTACTTGCTTCTTCCTGTACTGGGATTCCAATGATGAGCATTTTGCTTCTCTTCATGATGTCCTATATTATTCTTAGGTTTTCTTCTTTGTCCTTCCTTTTTGATTCTGCTTTTTGTTCTAGTAGATCAGTGGTGACAATTCTATCTTCAATTTCACTGATTCTGTGTTCCATCTCTTCAACTCTATTCATGTCCCTCCATCATGTTGACAGCATCTGAGACATTGGGTCTCATATTTTGGATAGCAGTTTCTTGTTTTTCCAGAGCTTCTAGTGCCTCATTTGCTTTATCTGCATTGTTTTGGATTTTTTTTTAAAAAACAACCTCTTCCTGGTTTTTGCTTGCAGTGTCCTGTAGTTCTTCAAGTTTGTCATTCACCCACTGAAAATATTCAATCATTATTCTTTTAAATTCTGTGTCAGAAAGTTCCATCACACTTTCTGGCATCAGGAAGTCCATTGGTATTGTGTCACTTTTGGGGGGTGACATCTGTTTTGCACTTGTGTAGCTTATGAGGTGGTCTGTTTCCTTCTTGATGATGCCAGTGGTAGGGTTATTCATGTCTAAGGTGATGATAGGTTCTTGATCTGACATCACTTCTACAGATGACGGCATAGCAGTTATGTTTCTTGTGATACTCTGAATTTCTGAACAAAAGCAAGTGGCCATTCACGGTCTATGAAAGTGGCCTCTTCTGTTGAATAATTATTACAGCTAAGTCAGACCAAGATGCTCCAGATTAAAGGCAGTTAGTTGACTGGCTCTGAGGAGATGTGAGGGTAAGGGGGAGGAGAGAACAGGCGCAGTAGGTACTAGCACAGGTGTCTGCTGTATGGCTTGCTCCTGGTGGGGCTAGCTGTCCAGGTGGGCATGTAGGAAGACCTCACTCAGGTATGCAGTTCTTCCACTCACACCTGGCGTCTGTGGTTTTCCTACCCCAGTGTGGATGCTCAGGAACCACACTCAGGTTACAGATGTCCTGCTGGTGCCCAACAAGGCTAGCTTCCAGATATGCACTTGTCAGAACCTCATTCCGTTTGCTTCTGTCCCCCTCACACCCAGTTGGGCTACCTGTCTGGTTAGGTATGCTTGGGTACCTGTGCAAAAACTCACTCAGTTTGTAGATTTTCTGTTTGCTCTTGGCAGGGCTACCTGCCCCTGTGGAGACTCATAGGGACCTCACTGAGGTTGCAGCTGTACAGCTAGCGCCCAGCAGGGCTGGCTTCAGGGTAGTCACGCATGATTACCTCAGTCAGGTTGCAAATGTCTGGCAGACCAGCCGGGCCATGGCGGGGTTGTGGTGGCATCCTGGTGGTGGCAGGGGCGGTCGCTTCTTCGGGGGTCTCACAGCGATAGTGGGATGGTCCCTCCTCCAGGGTTACGTGGTGGCCATATATTTTACTTTTAAATTACTTCTTGTTCCTTTTTTATTTGGATTCATTAACTATCAATATTACTCTCAAGCTAAGATCCTGACTTATTTCCCATTAAAATGGTGCCTGTGAGCCTAAAACAATGATAGATGATAGATGAAGAATACTGTATTTATTAAAAGTTATCTAAGTGATCTTTGAATATTAGTTAATTCCTCAAATCTCACAAAGATAGGAGCATTTATGATTATCTACATGTACACCTGTCAGAACTTGGACCACAGAGGTGAAGTCATGCAAAAGGATAGAACTAACAAGTGTTGGCTATGAGATTTTGATCCAAATGAGTCCAGGGCCCATGAACTTAATCATTACAATATCTGGCTGACCTTACAATCCGAGGAAAATGAAAACAGAAGTTAGAGGATGATTACAAAAACAAACAAAATGCTGCCTATTTTTATCCCAGTGTAGTTGGGTAAATTAATTTTTTAATCTTTTTACTATGAGCTTATTAGCAAATAAATACTCAAAATACTCATTGCTGCTGAGATGGAACTCATAACTGAACCTTTGTTATCTTTTCGAGACTGTAAATCAGATGAGTGGAAATTGCCCATATTTCTCTAGTGGAAAAACTCAAAGTTACATTAAAATTGAAGCGGAACCTGTTAATGATCATCTAGCTTACTTGTTTTATTTCTTTCTTTTCCCTGGGCAGAGTGTGGTGGACGACTGAAAGCTGAATCAAAACCCAAAGATCTGTACTCACACGCTCAATTTGGTGATAACAACTATCCAGGACAGATCGATTGTGAATGGCTGTTAATTGCAGAACGCGGTTCTCGGCTCGAGTTGTCTTTCCAGATATTTGAAGTGGAAGAAGAGGCTGACTGTGGCTATGACTATGTTGAGCTCTTTGATGGTCTTGAGTCAACAGCTGTGGAGCTTGGTCGATTCTGTGGATCAGGGGTAAATACAGTAGTGGGAGATCACTTTTTTTCTTTAGAAACAAATAAGTTTTAAAATTTTTTCTCAGTGTTCCTCATCCCACTACCCCAGATGGTGGTTCCTCTTGGTGGCAGTCAGGCAAGGCAAGTTTATGGGGTCCTTTTCGTTGTGTGTTAGTGTTCTTTTTGCCCTTCAAAAGTGAGTGGGCAGCGCTGACCCTTAGAGTAAGGGTAAGTAAGGGTGGAGCCTGAAGAGCCTACTCCAGGCAGTAGCTTAAAATCCTTAATGAGGCTTGGGGACTGGAGTCTCACTCTATGGAATTTGGCTGGCTAACTGGTGAAACATTCTTCTAGGTTGTATAACCCTGGTGTATCCACTTGCTGTACAGAGGTAACTCATGGTTGCTGTGAAGCTGAACACTGTGACACTGATGAGTCAAAAATGCAATAATGGTTTTCCATGGTGGACAGTGTTTGGTGGAACTCTGCAATTTAAACAAGCTTGGAAGCACCCACTTCCATAATAGCTTGCCTCTGGGAACTCTATGAACCTGGAGAAAGGACGAAAGTCTTACAGGTATCCAGGTTTTTTGTTCACAGGGTTGCTATGAGTTGCCTATGACTCGACAACACTTAGCAACAACAACAAGTCTTTTACAAAGATTTATTACTCTCATTTATTTGAGTAGCTGCTAAGATAGATTCCTTAAAATAATAGGTTGATCTCCTGTCCAAATAGCAACTAAATGGGTGGCAAGGGGGAAGGTTGTTTGTTGTTTGTTTGTTTTACTTAAATTAAAAAACAAGAAATAATGAAAGTTTTGGACTCTGGAAGTGACTCTTTTTAGAACAGCTTCTAAAATCAATTTAGTCTCATCAGTTTCCCCAAATTTCAGTTCATTTATTTGTAAATGGATCACCTGGACTAAAAACTGTGCAAAAATTAGAAAATATTTGGGGGCAAATATGACCCAAAGTTGGAAACACATAACTATGGGTCTAAACCCCTGTATATCACTGATTGCACACGTGTTCTTGAACACATCATTTGATTGTCTGAAATTCAAGTTTTCCTTTCTGTAAAAATATGAAGTAAATAGTATGCACTTTGCAAGGTTGTTGAGGGATTTAAATTATTAAAATATTTCCAAACATGACTTCACTAGGGGGAAAGAATCATTTGCTTTGTTTGTTCATTTGCTTGTTTGTGTTTTTGCTTTCAGCCACCAGAAGAGATCTATTCAATTGGGGATGCAGTCTTAATTCGTTTTCATACTGATGACACAATCAACAAGAAAGGATTTCATATAAGATACAAAAGCATAAGATATCCAGATACCATGCACACTAAAAAATAACATCCACACCTCCACTGGAACATTCGGGAGTGCACATAATGGAGAGAAGATGTATTTTTTTAAACCGAAAATAGTAGCATAAATGTTTTATATAATGAATTTGAACAAAAGAAAATTTTAAGACTAGAATTATCTATTTACTGAAAAAGAAGTTTCTGGATAACCCAGATGGACATTATAAGGATATTTGAATTCTGAGCTTGACGAAATGAATAAATATGATGAAAAGACATCATGTGCTTCAATGAAGACTCTTAAAAGATTTGTGATATAGATGCCTCAAAATTCAGAGAGATCATTTTAGGGGCCGTGACTCTGCGGAGTGTACCTATTGACATTTTCCCAGGATTTAGGGAAATAAAATGATCTTGAAGGTCAAAATTGAAAACCTCTCTTCTCAAAATTGTTTTGGCACTGTATGTAGGATACATTGCAAGAAAGACCCATATAAAATGGAACTTTTTTCAGCATAGTTTGTATTTTAAATGTGTTGGATGTATGTCTGATGTTTGGAAACTGGAATATTTCTGCTTTGCTATTTTCCCTTGTGGGATAACTAAACTCTGTGAAACACAAATGGTCTGGAGATCATTTCAATTAACAGTAATGTCTATTATTGCAGTTAAACTCTAGATGTCATTTACGTAAGTATTAGAAAATGCCCAGTTGATTGGTAAACTGAGTCCATTCTGTGAAAATGCTGCCTTCTCAAACCAAATCTATAAAGTCTTGTGAGAACTTGTGAAATATTTGAGAAAACTAACATGAAGTGTGTGCAGGATTCCTCTAAACGGCTGCCTGGATGGTTTATACTCAAGTTACCACTGCTGCTATTGTCTTCCTTTTGACATTTCTGTGCATCTGTTATTGCTATAGCTGTTATTGTTGATGTTGTCATGGTTAATGTAATATTTAAAAAAAACTATAATTCTAATTCAACTTGTAAGAACCAAAATATTTTTTTTTCTCTTCCTGAGATTCAGTTTAACCAAAATGCAATGTTGGAAACAATAATTTGGTTCTGAAAGACTTTCTATGGTGCTATTCCATAAACACTTAAAAATAAAAAAGAAGAAAAATAACAAAGTTTTTGACCTTTGGGCCAACAACCCATAGACGATGAATGTCTCCCTAAGTCTGGCTGGTGGCATTTGAAGAATTTTTAAAAAAGACTTGTTAATAGTATTATGATTACATTGTTAGAAGACAGCACTTGTCCTGTGGAACAACTTATTATAATGCCTTAGAATTCTTGCACATAATAAAAAATCTTCCTATAGATACACCTTTTGAAATGTTGAACGTGACAATACATGTTAGCGGCTCTATGAGGAAAATCCATTCCATGACTGAGAGCATCATATAGAAATATAATGACCTGTTTTTGTTGTAGAAAATGTCATGTTAGAATGAATTTTCCACTTTGAAGCTAGGAGTGTTTTAAATGTTAGTATATGTATATGTAAGATTTTCTAAGTAAATGAAGCTAAAAGATGAAAACTAGTGAGTGATAGAAAGTTCAGATTTCTGTGCCAAGTTCTACTAGAATCCTGTTTGAAGTAGCATCTTTCTTAGAAGGTTTCATGGACAAATAATGGAAACTTCTAATTATTATCAACTACATTAAATAAAGAATTTTAATGGAGAGAACCCCTGTTTTGGTATGTATTGATGCTAACGTAGTTTTGTTTCTGTTACCTGTCCATGAATATTCAACACCATTGAATAAAAGTGGGTGTTTTCCTTTACGTGTACAAATTAAGCTACAACCCATATATGTAGCTTACTTGGCTTTTCTGTCACCATTGCTGTGTGTGTTTTTTTAATATGAGTTATAAAACGTAAATACATTTTTAAAACTAATCTTGTGATCTTATTGAATGTTATTTTGAAAGTGTGTAACTCTTGCCTGTAACTCAGATGAAGTAGGGAGTTTTTTCCACTAAATTTATTTACTGTAGTAAATTGTGTAGTATTTAATTAATGTCCAATTAACTGAAGTATACTTGGGATGAGATAAAGAGGAAAAATTAATACTTACTGAATACTTACTGTGTATTAGACCTATTGTAGGCATATGTACTAGTACTAGTTCTTCTTAAACAATAAGATACCTTTGAGGGCTGTAGTCCTTTTGTTTTGCAGTTCAATAACTGACTCTTCAAGAGGCTATAGAATATTTTAAAGGTAACAGAGTGAAATTAGCAATTAATCACAACTTGTTTGCCATTAGAGTCTGAGTGTGTTCTAAAAATGGCAGTAGAACCCATCTTGACGTGTATATATAGTAGAGGTTTTAAATGATGTATCTTCCATATTAAGAATATTGGTGAGTGAATTAAAACGAAACTGTCAGGATTAATTTATGACATCTGTTAGGCACAGGATGAGATTAGAACTATAAAACCTAGTGATATAGATATTGTTAATATCTACAGTTAGGACCAGAAATTAAAAAGACAAAATTCCTACTGTGTGGTTTAGTGTCAGTAACCACATAACTTTAGTAACATGTTAAATTCTATATCTGGAGTGATAAAAGAAATGTAGTCTTCTACTTTGAGAAATATTCTGAAACTGGTGTCATAGTAGACACGATGAATGTGTACAATTCAGCAAGAAATTAAAGTAAGAAATATTCAGAAAGTATATAGTAACAATTTTAAGTCTATGTGAATATAAATTTTTATTGTATTTTATGAGCGGTATTAGTTTATTGTATTAGTTTTTATATTATTTCAGTGTTTCCCTTAAATATGTTGTTAAATGCTAACAGAGACAGCTTCATTGTTTTGTTAATAATTGTCAGTTACTATACAAGGCTTCTTATTAAATTAATTTTATAAATTATTTTTCACCTTTACATCAGAATATTGGTTGTGCTTTATACTTGCTATAGTTCACATTTCCATACAATCCTGAAAGATTTAAACATGGGATATTTGAATAGGATATTCAGTAATCTTCTTCACACCACAACTTAAAGGCATCAGTTCTTCCTTTCCTATCTTTATTCATTGTCCAACCTTCAGATTCATAAGAAACAATTGAAAAATACCATGATTTGGATTAGTACTATTTTAATCTTTAAACTGACAACCTTACTCATTAGCACATTAGAGAGGTCATTGACAGCAGATTTTCATGATAAAAAAAGTTTTTGATTCTTGACTCCTATTATCCTATGTGTTGGTTGTGGATCCAAGTAAAATGAAATCCTTGACAAATTCAATGCTTTTTTCATCTGTGACCCCCATCGAATTTCCCAAGCTGTAAATCTTTACTGGAGGAAATTGTCTATCATTGTACCACAAAGCAGCTAGTGAATTTGAACCACTGACCTTTTTGGGATTGGCAATGTAAAGAAATACACCACCAGAGCTACTTTAACATTTAATGTTGTGGTGTGTCATAGAGATAGACCTGACCTATAGCTGATCCTCCAGTGAGTTTTCAGAGGCTGTAAATTGCATAGGAGGAGATTGCTTATCTTTCTCCCATACTACTTACTAAACTGAGAAGGGAAAGACAAAAATATTACCTCCTAAAGAAGAGAAAACAAAGACTCTTTTGAGGAGAAGTGTGGAATCAGGATTGGGGAAAGATTCATCAACAACCTGCTTTCTTTATGCAGGTAGTATAAACTTTTTGTTGAAACTGAGGAGGACCTGAGCCATTTGCTGCAGAAGATGAAGAACTGTAGTCTTTAGTACGGATTGAAGCTTAACATCAAGAAGACAAAAGATTATTACCACTGAGCCAATTGACAGTACTATGGTGGATAGAGAAGAGATCAAGATTAGCAATTTCAACTTGCTTGGCTCCACAATCAACAATCTTGGCACTAACAGTCAGGAAATCAAGAGAAAACTTGCACTGGAGAAGTATGCTGTCAGGGACCTCTCCAAAGTCCTAAAGAGCAATGAGGTCACATTAGAGACTAAGATGTACCTGATCCAGGTCATGGTATTAGACAATAACTTGCAATAAAATGGAGCTGGACAATGACTAAGGATGACAGTAGAATTGATGCCTTTGACTTGTGGTTCTGGGTAAGTGTATTGAACATACTATGGATTACCAGGAGAATAAATAGGTCTGTCTTAGATAGGATGAAACCAATTTTCTCCTTGAAGCAAGGATTTTGAAGCTCCATCCTACATACTTTGAGCATGTGGCCAGGAGTTATGAGTGCTTGAACAAAGACATCATGCTTGCAAGTGTGGAGGGAGAACACAGGAGAGGAAGGCACCAGATGGATTGACTCAGTAATTAGGACAATGGGATTAGGTCTGTCTGAGGCAGTGAGACTGGCCCAAGATAGGACAGGATTCAGAGCTATAGTACATAGGGTTGCTATGAGTCATGGATGACTCAATGACACATAACGATGACAACAAAGAAGATATATTCTTTGGAAATTCAAGCTGTGAGTTGCAATGCTTAAGGATGCTATGGTCAGAATATTGAATGATTCAGCAAGCATTAAAAAAGATGGAAGGAGTATACAGAGTCTTTGTACCAAAAAGAAGTGGCAGACAGAAAAATTTCAAGAAACAACATATGATCAACAGGCAGTGCTGATGGAGGAAGAAGTACAGGCTGCTCTGAAGGACTTGGCAAAAAGTAAAGCCCCAGTAATTGATC